GGAGCTCTCGCTTACTAAGGATACAGCTTGCCTCGAGATGCTGCCGGATTCCGTTTCTAATCGAGCATTAACGGCGCGGGTCTGCAGAGATCCGGGATTCTGCGATCGAAACGCCTGCATCAGAAAGTGCTGCGCCGAAAATGAGTTTTTTTACGTCCAGGGATGCAATAAACTCGCTGTGCCCGACGAGCCGATAGAGTTTCACGAGGCTTTCGCGAGCGCCGTGAATCAAACGAAATCGTCCACTTTCAACACGACCAAAGGTTTCCTTCAAATTCTATTGCCATCACGAGAGAAAAATTAAAACCCTTTCATTAAAAATCCATTGACAATTAACGATCCATGATTAATCCACGGACAATTAATGATGAATCGTTGACGAGATGTGCTACGCGCATACTTAAAAGACTTCTCTCTGATTGCTTAGATTACGGAGTTCTGATTGGGAAGCCGTGCAAGCACATGTATTTCACGGATCCGACAGAGGAATGGCTGTTGACATCGGAAGGACATGTTTTTGTCAAAGATTACGTCGTCTATAATCAGAACAAGTACTGCATGGACGTCTTTTATAACAAAATAGAATTTGATAATAGCTTTCATTTGTTTATATGCTTCGACGGCCCGCCGGATGAAGTTTCAGTGAGGTATATTTTTAATTTCTTCAATTCTATAAAATTATTCAACACAGATATATACTTTTTTATTATTTTTCTTATTTAATCTTATAGTTACAGTTATTTTAGTTATCTTAGATGTCTTGATAAAATCGAACAAAAAAAAATTTTGCGCAAATATGCGCATCCCGAAGATAAATAATTAGATTACTGTCATAATGCTTTCGGGATATATCGGGAAAAGTTGTGATTTCAGGAATGTATAGATTCGCCCTAAGTTTCCACGAATTAAAGTAAAACGAATTCATTAGATTTCTATCGACGCACAATTCACAGAGCAATTTCTACGCATTCAGAATGCTCCCACCTTTTCGCAAATTCTGTCAAATTTGGCGAAACTCGGCAGGCTTGATTTGTTTAAACTTTGTTTGAAAGTCAAACAAACGTAGCATGTACCGGCGCACAATACGGAGATATACTCGGTATATTCAGAGAGCTGTAAACGTTTATATAGTTATGTACAGCGATGATAAAGAAAACTGTTGAAAGTAATATCGAGGCGGGTCAATTTTTACCCGAAAGGGTGTTGCCCGCTGCAAAAAAATACAAAAGCGAAATGCGAATTTCTCGCGCTGATGAACAGGTACCGAGTGAACAACGCCCTGCAGATCATCAGCTGTGCCTTCCTGCTGATGACCCTGTTGGTGTACGCCTGCCTGCCGAGTCTGCAGAATCTTCACGGTAAAACGCTCATGTGCCACGTGAGCAGCCTCCTCCTGGCCTTCACCTGCCTGCCGATCATCACGTGGATCATTCCCGGCGATCCGGATGAGGAGCAACGGGCCATGATAACGTGCAAAGCTTTAGGTAATAATAATCCAGGCTTCCTGGGAAAATGTGCATGTAAGAGCGGTGCTCCGAGGAAACGAAAACAAAAAAGAAAGAGTTTCTGTTTTTCCAGCCTACATGACGCTTTTTGCTTTTCTATCGGCGTTTTCCTGGCTCAACGTCATGTGCTTCGACATATGGTGGACCTTCGGGTAAGTCATCACGTGATCACGTGACATAATCGAGGCAAGTGGCATAATCGAGAAGATTGGATAAATGTGTCGATGCAATAATTTTCTCGAGAGGAAAATCAATAATATAATCCCCCTTTTAGATGAGCCTCCGAATGATGGAGTTAGTTTAGGCGTGTTTTTTTCATAATTTTACGAAGAAGCCAGTCGTCGCGGAAAATTTTCTCATTTATTCGACGATTATCTTGATGCTATCACAATTGCCTCGTTGACCTTTCATAGAAATGTCCCGCCGAATATCTTGCCATTCCCATTGACCCTCCCATTATTGTCGGTGCTCTCCTACGCTCTCTACGAATTCATTGTGTTCTACGTACCGACACGCAAAATAATATACATTGCCAAACATTAAACACCGAAATGACTCAGCGTTTTATATAGCGCCGACACCGTATGCATAATATGCAAAAAAGTATCTAGTTCGCGTACAGTTTAACTCGAGGAATCTGTAACTTTAAAAAAAAAAAAAAAAAT